CCCCCCCCCCCCCCCCGCAGGAAATCACACTACTTTTTTTTTTTGCGAGAAACTTCCGAAGTTCGTTTCAAACACTTCCAATCACGGAAATTCGCCGAAGGCATCGATGAATTTTCCGCCCTACAGAACAGTTTTGAAAATAATTCATTATTAAGATTCCCCAGACACGTTATTCATTTTGACGTTGAATTAACAAAAAAAAAAAAAGAAAGAAAAATGTTGCTCCAAAAAACTAGCCCTTACAATCACTCATCCCGCGGTTCACCCAAATTGTAGCAGTTAACGTGTAGAAATGATGATTCGAACTTCACTAGTGCAGTCCAGTTCCACCTCCTCCTCCCTATTTCTTAATGACTCGCCCTATCTTATCGTTTACGTCTATGTTTAAGAAAAGAAAACAATAAGGTCTTTAAGGAACGGGTTAAGTTTATTTCCAAGGTTATGTTACTACTACGTTACCCATCCAATTTTAACTTAATTTAAAGGATTATTAATCGTTCTGCTTGCAAACGTCACTGAGAGAACGGAAGCCACCTAAAAAGATTGAAAAGAATTTCGTTTAGTCCAGAGACTACTTTAGGGTGGATTCATCTGCAACATACGCGTATCTGTCGCAATTTGTCCACTGGAATTTTTTGATCTTTTAAATTTTATTACGCGAATGTTGCAAATGAATCCAAAAGTTAATTCGCATTTGCCGGTTCTCGCCAAACAAAGGGAGCTAAAGCCGCGAAGACGACAAGGGCAGTGAAATGACGTCGCTAAAAAAAAAGAACTCATTTGCGTTCTCTCAAACTTTATCTCGTCTATTTGGACCCGCTCAATTTATCAAATGTAGGTGACTTTTCCTGGAGTTGAATTCTCAAGGACTTTATCCATGTTCAAAAAGAGAAAGGAAAATTTGTTGTTGTATATGTCCACGTCCTCCATAAACGACACATTAGGGCCATTTATACGAGGAAAAATAAGACGCGTCTTACATAAGACGATCATGTCTTATATAAGACAAGAACAGCTCGTATAAATGGTTCCCGTCTTATTTCTGTTCCTGACTCGTTTTCATGTGAATGTTGCCCGCAGCAACGACAATCCAACGTGGCGCGCCAAAAATTAACGCATGCGTACTTTGCGTTCGCGTCTCATGTAAGACGCGAAGGTCATTTATACGAAGTTTTTCTCGTCTTAGCTAAGACGCGTCTTATCTAAGAACAGGTGTTAAGGGCTGTTCGAAAATAAGACGCGTCTTAGCTAAGCCGCGTCTTATTTTAGGCGAAAGGTGCCGTTTATACGGAAAGTTCGCTTCTTATTTAAGACGCGTCCTATGTAAGACGCGTCTTATTTTTCCTCGTATAAATGGCCCTATTAAGGGGTTTTAACTTCCTAGTCGGAAATGTACTAAAAAGCGTGATGCACGTGCAGAGCTGTTGTTTTGCTCATAACCAATTGTCAATGCAAATGAATCCACCCAAAAGCCGAAGAGGCTGGGTACGAGATTACCCTAACTAAATTGAAAAGGCTTTGAAAAAACTCCTCCTGCTATAAACTTTAGCTTCTTAGGTTTTCCGGAATTTTCTTTAAAGCCATGCAACCTCTCTTGGTGTACTGACTTACACTGTACTTTTTTTTTGTCTGAGTGTGTGTGTGCTTACAACCAGCACTGAGTGTTTAAAAATTGCATTGTTTAGTTGCTAAGTTTTTAGACTTAATAAAACCATAATCACAAAAGGTGAGATTTTGACTGCAAAGGAAGTTTGTTTTAATGAAAAGAATCAACCTTGTATTGATCTATTTATTAAATTTTGTTACTTTGCCCAGCCAGGATAGCTGCATATTCACTCTAGCCTGCTTAGCGGTCGTAGAGAGGGGATAGGAGATAGGGAGAAAGAGGAAAGGGGGGGGGGGGAATTGGGGTGAAAGGGAAAGGGACCCTCCCTTCCCTTTTTCCCACTTTCGCGCTTTTCTCTCCCTCCCCCCCCACCTTCCCCTTTTTGCGCCTGCCACGCATACTAATTTCACTCATGCCAGCGTTTTATCATCTAGTGATACAGTCCATCCAGACACAGAAATTTGGCCGCGTCATCATTCTTACCTCTTAATGTCTCCAAGAGTTAAAGAGGAGAAAGAGGCATTTACGAGAGAAAGGATCGTCCGTACACAAAATATGGCGCACGTCACTGGCAAGACAAAAAGGTAAAATATTGATATAAAGCTTGATATCTGCTTGCGTTTTATGATCTATAGCAAGATCCATAAAGGAACATCAATGGCTCTTGGTGATAGATAAAATACTATAATACACGTATGAGAGGTAGAACTGTACGGGGGGCACTGATTTACAATGGCGAGACGAAGGTGAGTAGACCCCTTGTAAATATTGAGATGAATCATCGTTTCGCGCACGGTAAGTACCCCCAAAATTTTCTTACTTAGTAGGGGTTATTACCCTTACAATTCTAAAAAACCACGGTCAAATAATTTGACAGATACAAGTTGGCTTTGATGGCCTTAAATTCATAAGAGGAGATCACCCGAAGCCTCCTAGACACTTTTGCCGCAAAAGTCGCTGTTTTCTCCAGTACTCAGGAATCGGATTTCTTCGCTTGCTGATCCCACACAAATCCCACACTAGGTATATGTCACGGAATTTTAACAAACTGGTATATTTTTAGATACCTTGTAGAGTACTTTTTCTGAAAATGGAAGCCCTACTCCGTGAATGAACACATACGACGAATGAAAAAAGAAAACTTAAGTCATGATATAATAATAAATAAAAGTTCCAATTTTGTGCTGACTGGTTCGTGCGACTTAAAATATAAAGGATTGGACGTTATAAGTTCGCCCCAAAACCGTTCTAAAAATAAACCAGGCAGAAAAAACACAAGTATATGGAAGTTGCTTGCTCTGGGTTTAAAGGCTCCTGGTGAGATGATAGCTTTGAGAACTAGAGATTAATATCAAGCTGAGATACCACTCCCCCCCCCCCCCCCCCGCAGGAAATCACACTACTTTTTTTTTTTGCGAGAAACTTCCGAAGTTCGTTTCAAACACTTCCAATCACGGAAATTCGCCGAAGGCATCGATGAATTTTCCGCCCTACAGAACAGTTTTGAAAATAATTCATTATTAAGATTCCCCAGACACGTTATTCATTTTGACGTTGAATTAACAAAAAAAAAAAAGAAAGAAAAATGTTGCTCCAAAAAACTAGCCCTTACAATCACTCATCCCGCGGTTCACCCAAATTGTAGCAGTTAACGTGTAGAAATGATGATTCGAACTTCACTAGTGCAGTCCAGTTCCACCTCCTCCTCCCTATTTCTTAATGACTCGCCCTATCTTATCGTTTACGTCTATGTTTAAGAAAAGAAAACAATAAGGTCTTTAAGGAACGGGTTAAGTTTATTTCCAAGGTTATGTTACTACTACGTTACCCATCCAATTTTAACTTAATTTAAAGGATTATTAATCGTTCTGCTTGCAAACGTCACTGAGAGAACGGAAGCCACCTAAAAAGATTGAAAAGAATTTCGTTTAGTCCAGAGACTACTTTAGGGTGGATTCATCTGCAACATACGCGTATCTGTCGCAATTTGTCCACTGGAATTTTTTGATCTTTTAAATTTTATTACGCGAATGTTGCAAATGAATCCAAAAGTTAATTCGCATTTGCCGGTTCTCGCCAAACAAAGGGAGCTAAAGCCGCGAAGACGACAAGGGCAGTGAAATGACGTCGCTAAAAAAAAAGAACTCATTTGCGTTCTCTCAAACTTTATCTCGTCTATTTGGACCCGCTCAATTTATCAAATGTAGGTGACTTTTCCTGGAGTTGAATTCTCAAGGACTTTATCCATGTTCAAAAAGAGAAAGGAAAATTTGTTGTTGTATATGTCCACGTCCTCCATAAACGACACATTAGGGCCATTTATACGAGGAAAAATAAGACGCGTCTTACATAAGACGATCATGTCTTATATAAGACAAGAACAGCTCGTATAAATGGTTCCCGTCTTATTTCTGTTCCTGACTCGTTTTCATGTGAATGTTGCCCGCAGCAACGACAATCCAACGTGGCGCGCCAAAAATTAACGCATGCGTACTTTGCGTTCGCGTCTCATGTAAGACGCGAAGGTCATTTATACGAAGTTTTTCTCGTCTTAGCTAAGACGCGTCTTATCTAAGAACAGGTGTTAAGGGCTGTTCGAAAATAAGACGCGTCTTAGCTAAGCCGCGTCTTATTTTAGGCGAAAGGTGCCGTTTATACGGAAAGTTCGCTTCTTATTTAAGACGCGTCCTATGTAAGATGCGTCTTATTTTTCCTCGTATAAATGGCCCTATTAAGGGGTTTTAACTTCCTAGTCGGAAATGTACTAAAAAGCGTGATGCACGTGCAGAGCTGTTGTTTTGCTCATAACCAATTGTCAATGCAAATGAATCCACCCAAAAGCCGAAGAGGCTGGGTACGAGATTACCCTAACTAAATTGAAAAGGCTTTGAAAAAACTCCTCCTGCTATAAACTTTAGCTTCTTAGGTTTTCCGGAATTTTCTTTAAAGCCATGCAACCTCTCTTGGTGTACTGACTTACACTGTACTTTTTTTTTGTCTGAGTGTGTGTGTGCTTACAACCAGCACTGAGTGTTTAAAAATTGCATTGTTTAGTTGCTAAGTTTTTAGACTTAATAAAACCATAATCACAAAAGGTGAGATTTTGACTGCAAAGGAAGTTTGTTTTAATGAAAAGAATCAACCTTGTATTGATCTATTTATTAAATTTTGTTACTTTGCCCAGCCAGGATAGCTGCATATTCACTCTAGCCTGCTTAGCGGTCGTAGAGAGGGGATAGGAGATAGGGAGAAAGAGGAAAGGGGGGGGGGGGAATTGGGGTGAAAGGGAAAGGGACCCTCCCTTCCCTTTTTCCCACTTTCGCGCTTTTCTCTCCCTCCCCCCCCACCTTCCCCTTTTTGCGCCTGCCACGCATACTAATTTCACTCATGCCAGCGTTTTATCATCTAGTGATACAGTCCATCCAGACACAGAAATTTGGCCGCGTCATCATTCTTACCTCTTAATGTCTCCAAGAGTTAAAGAGGAGAAAGAGGCATTTGCGAGAGAAAGGATCGTCCGTACACAAAATATGGCGCACGTCACTGGCAAGACAAAAAGGTAAAATATTGATATAAAGCTTGATATCTGCTTGCGCTTTATGATCTCTAGCAAGATCCATAAAGGAACATCAATGGCTCTTGGTGATAGATAAAATACTATAATACACGTATGAGAGGTAGAACTGTACGGGGGGCACTGATTTACAATGGCGAGACGAAGGTGAGTAGACCCCTTGTAAATATTGAGATGAATCATCGTTTTGCGCACGGTAAGTACCCCCAAAATTTTCTTACTTAGTAGGGGTTATTACCCTTACAATTCTAAAAAACCACGGTCAAATAATTTGACAAATACAAGTTGGCTTTGATGGCCTTAAATTCATAAGAGGAGATCACCCGAAGCCTCCTAGACACTTTTGCCGCAAAAGTCGCTGTTTTCTCCAGTACTCAGGAATCGGATTTCTTCGCTTGCTGATCCCACACAAATCCCACACTAGGTATATGTCACGGAATTTTAACAAACTGGTATATTTTTAGATACCTTGTAGAGTACTTTTTCTGAAAATGGAAGCCCTACTCCGTGAATGAACACATACGACGAATGAAAAAAGAAAACTTAAGTCATGATATAATAATAAATAAAAGTTCCAATTTTGTGCTGACTGGTTCGTGCGACTTAAAATATAAAGGATTGGACGTTATAAGTTCGCCCCAAAACCGTTCTAAAAATAAACCAGGCAGAAAAAACACAAGTATATGGAAGTTGCTTGCTCTGGGTTTAAAGGCTCCTGGTGAGATGATAGCTTTGAGAACTAGAGATTAATATCAAGCTGAGATACCACGTACTTTGGGTCGTCGTAGCAGGTTACTTTAAGTCCTCTATTTCTTGCGTGTTTTTTAAGCATTCTAATAGAGGCAGTGTAACAACCTTTGCGTAAACTGTAAAAAAAATCAAATTTATATCATGATATGGCATGTTGCAAAATGAGTAACAACGTAAACTTAACCTGGTAAAAGTAGCATAATTCAGTTCTGAAATGAGAATTTAAAAAAATACCATAAATGATTATAAATTATGCTGCCAGGATAAAGCATATCTTTCGTTAGAAGGAGGCGGGTGCTGCCTCCATGAAAGAGGCCAGAGATGCTTGTCAGAAAATTTGAGTTGTTTTTTATTTCTGATTTCTTCTCTTCTGCAGTTTTTCCTTAAGGAACAGCCGTCAGCTAGCAATACCTGTAAGGCTAAAAAATTTGGCGCATCATCCCAGTAAACACCTCACTGAAGTGATACCAAAATCTGCTAGTTACACCTTATAAGACGCGTATCTGCCGTTTTTATGTGAGCCGATTTTTCCCACACACATATATTCTTACTGTTTCTCACCGTTTATTAGGGCCGTTGTTGTGAACCACTACGATCCTGAGTTCGGAAACTTTGTTCACTTGAAGATTTGGCAGCTCGTATTTGGCAAAGAAGCTACAAAATAAAATAACGAAATTTCTTATTATATTATTAATATTATAGATAGCGTAATTATCTAGCTTATTGTGTTCTGTTCATAAGAAAGTATGTAATCCATTGAGCCCTCTCTTGGTAAAAGTAATAAAGGAAGGAAATTGGAAAGATTTGGACCGAAAAAACCTAACCAATTCCTCTACAGCCTCCTGGTTTTTTTTAAAGCCATTTCGATTGCATTATATTCAGAGGAGGTTTATAAAAAGTGGGACTTGCGAAAGTGAATCTTCGGAACGTTTCGATGTCATTTGTCCCCAGAGTTTGTCAACACCCAAAGATGTTTCAATTTTATGACCTTAGCTATTACTTTAAGGTTGAGAATTTTGAGCCTCACAGTAAATTTTAATTATTGTGATTTTTGGGAAGGTGAATCAAATTTGTGGGCTCAAATATGTGGGAAAATTCCCCTACCCCTAGTTCCGTGGCCCCGGCTTAGTCAATTACAAGATTTGTAAGAACTACTTGGTCGCAGGTACGATTACCTGTCTTCCCTGTAAGGAACAGGTTTTCCATTTGAATCGACCCTGGAACCATTCAGCATTACTCTAGCAATTCCTCGAGCATGTCTTGCAAACTTTAAAAAACAAATATAAGTATTTAGTTTATTAACGTAGTTAATTAAATTACTTGACCCGCGGCTGTCTATAAACTTAAAGTATCATTGCGTGTCTATGTAGCACCTACAGGAGCTTATAAAACTCGTTAAAACTTGTACGATGACAACAACAACAAAACTTTATTTCAAGAATTTAACTTAAGTAATTACAATGACGCGCAGGTAGGAACTGCTAATCTTGGCGGGACAGAAGAACAAATTAATAGATATTACTTCTATTAAACACAGTGTTAAGGAAACGATAACTTTAAAAGTTTGAGAGAAAAATACGAGAAAAGTTTGAGAGAAAAGTACATGATGATACTTTACCGTCGTTGACGCGAGGCCCCAGAAAGGTGTCGTATAATCACATTCACTCCAATCTGGACAGGAATTGTAGTCAATCCCATCGGAGTCTGAACGAGACAGGTTTTCATTTCCACACCAAGTCAGTCCATTCCCCAGATACCTGCAACAGGTTTTAGACGTAAAACGTACATAATTGGTAATTATTATTACGAAACTCTTGCCTACCTACAATGTAACATACTCACGTAGAGGATGAGTTGGTCTGACAGTGTCTTGTGACCACCTCTGTCAGATGAACTGATCGTGAGGCAGTCAGAGGGGGCCCAAAAGATCTCTAAGTATTGAAATGAATGGATGAGCCTGCCATCCATAGGCTATAGTATATGGTGTGGGCCAGCTAACGTGGACAGCGAAGGAGAGGCGGGTAAGGAGGTGGCGTTGCCGAGTGGTAAGAACGCTGGACTTGTAACTCAGAGGTCCCCAGTTTAAGTCCCGCCCTGACAGCTACTAGATTTGGTAGTTCCGAGTTTGAATCCTCGACCACTTTTGTAAATACCGAGCCGGCTGGTTTGCCACAGGATCTCCGGCCAGTTGGGATTCTTAAATCTGTTAAGTTTATTTCGTCTATTTTTATCTAACTTAACAAAGAATGTGTGAATACAGGCCACGCTTACAAGAAGTCGATCATTGAAAATCAAATAGACGAGGGTGTCCGTGAGAGTTTTGGCTTCGAACCTATCACTGCCGTTTACGCTCAGGAATGGAAGAATAGACTGATCCTGCAGGATAGACCCGATTTAGCAGTGAAATACTCTTTTCGACTGGACCGTGGTCTGGCCTTCCAGTTATAACCAACTGTAAGCATCCCTAAAACTACTCCTTAGACTGTTCACGAGTGCTTACTGGTACGAGCGTCCATCTTCGTTTCATATGTACCGAGGGGGCGGACAAGAGAACAATGCCAAGCTCTCGATCTCGACGATCTTGAGGAAAAATAGGGGACTGCATTACTGAACAATCTAAAAGCTCCTAAAGCCGTCCTGCAATGTTATATTTTAAACAGGTGACACTAAAACAATAACCTGAAGGTGATTCTTACCCGGCCAAGGTATCTTCTAGAGTTGTATAGCGATCACCGGAATCAGAATAGACCTGCGCAACTTTGTGTGTACCAGACCAGAACAAACTCTGAAGAAAAGGCAAGGATATATTTTGAGGCTGATCTTCTTCGGAAAGAAGATGCGGCCTCAACATAGAAAAAAGGCATGATTTCAAGTGAAAACCACGTCACATAGCCAGGGTGGTTTTCTTATGACTGTGCCCCACATATGCTACCATGCAAGACGTTACCACTATGGCTTATTAGACCTTAAAGTTAGCTGATTTACTTATAACTAGTTGTGCTTTTANTGTACCAGACCAGAACAAACTCTGAAGAAAAGGCAAGGATATATTTTGAGGCTGATCTTCTTCGGAAAGAAGATGCGGCCTCAACATAGAAAAAAGGCATGATTTCAAGTGAAAACCACGTCACATAGCCAGGGTGGTTTTCTTATGACTGTGCCCCACATATGCTACCATGCAAGACGTTACCACTATGGCTTATTAGACCTTAAAGTTAGCTGATTTACTTATAACTAGTTGTGCTTTTATCCCCTCAATCGTATGTACTACACCTGTGGAATTATTTGAACGAGTAGAAAGGTAGTACGTTAGGGGCAACGTTGGGTAGGGCCCTCTAATATTCTCTCTAAATAGAATTAAACCAGCGGCAACTCTTTCCCGTTTTTAAATACACTCTAAATCAGAAAGATCTGCTTTAGACCTAAAAATAGGGCCGTTTCGGTGAGTAAAATACAGTCGTATTTTTGAGTCTAATTTAGCTCCCTTAAATCAGGGCCAATACAGTCCAATTAGCTAGGGCTGATTTGGTCCCAGGGCTGAAATGGGCCCTACCGTGGGCTGGAATAGCCTTTTGATAGTAGCTTTTTTGGCCTAAATTGTGCTCAAATGGCTCCAGGAAGGGCTGAATCAGAGTTTGGCCTGCAGGACTGAATTGACACTTTGGGGCTGAAACAGATTTTTTTAATTTTCAGTGTAGTATGCAGATGACTCAACCATCATCGCACCAGTGCGGCTGTGAGTAGACTGACACTTGATAATGAGTTGAGAGGTTTTCGAGTATGGCTGTGTATTTGGGAAATATTGCCCAAACTGATTACTAGTGGTTCGCTATACCAGTCATTGATCAGAAAATGGACAAATTTTTCCTATTTCTGGGCCAAGTTTTCTCTTATACTGGTGCTATTTGAACACAAACATTGCCGGGAAAGTTTTCATTACTTGACTCCGATACTTACCCTACTCCTTTAAATGTAAAATACTTTTTCTGTAACTTTCAATATTATTAATTAAAAAATGTTTCGCCACCGTTTCTGATTGGCTTAATAATCGGCTAATAAAGCCCATTTCACAGTTTTAGGTGAAAACGAGGCTGGGATTGACCTTATTTAGATACAACCCTCCTCGCTTTTACCATGTCCTTATGCTAACTCGTATTTTAAAGAATAATTAAATAATAAAAGGAAAGAGGTTTGCATCAATACAAGGTCAACCACAGCCTTAATGGCTAGGGAACTAAGCCCGCAGCTGTAAAATGTTCTATTCCTGTCTTATAAGCTTAGCTAACGCTAATCAAACTTGGAAGTTGCGGCAATATACAATCGACAGAATGGCATATTGAGAAAATAAGAGCTCACTGCTATCTGAGGACGAAATAGACCGTACTGATTAAACAGTACGGAACAAATGCAAGAATACGCAAAAATATTGCTCGATGGATGCCATCTGCTTTTTGAGGCGTATCTGCAGGGAAAAAGGATCTCAGTTCATATTCTGAACTGTGCAACATGGAAATATTTTGAAGAAAGTCTAGACGAGGAGGTAAGGATGTTGAAAACTTGGAAATATTCTAGGGCAAGGAGGCATGTTTGCCTCGATAACACCTTCCTCGATCGCACCATTCAATAATTGTTATTAATTACCTTGTTATCATCAGTATGGTTTACGTTTTTCATGTAGCTCGTTGTGTCCCCTTAGTTATTATGTATTTTTTCACACTTTGCATTTATATGATTACGTCACTCGTTGTTCGCTATTCCGTATACTGCTTGCGCACTCTAAGATATTATTTGTACTTTACGAGTTTCCAAGCTGTCATTGCCGTATACCGTTAGAAACCTTGTGTAAACGTCCCTGAACTGATTAGATTGTTTCTAAAGTTTCCGAAATAACAAATATTTCTAACTCAAAACATTGTATCACAATCAGGGATAAAATACATTATCTGAGAGAAGCTCCACCCTTCTTCAACAAGACACTTGTCAGTTTTTCTAACCTTTGTAAGTTCTTGCATTCCAGTTGCATCAAAGAACGGCTGGTAATCATCGAATGCTAGGGTACACGGATTCTTATAAGCAAAGGCTTGATGAAAGGCCTCCCAGATCTCATTACAGTCTTTCCAGTTATCTGCTTCTGGACCAATAGTATTCAATTGATACTCGTAGCATCTTCCTAGTACAATTTCTTTGATTTTCGGAGTGGAGCCCTCGCCCGCAACACTCAACTCAATGGTGTTAAGAAGAAAGAGTGATCCAACCACAAATAGGAAGCTCATCTCAGCGAGTGTTTGCTGCAATGAAAACAATAAAATTCGTCATTTCACATTACGCTCAATAGACCTTGTTTAACCGCCAAATTTTGAAATTTTGCATAAGAATTGCCTTGCATTTCTCTTGGAATGACTTTAATACCCGGGAGAAATTGAAAACAAAAGGCGGTTGTGACAATGTAACATCGACGCAAGGGAGGTTTTGTGTCCAGCGGTTTTAGTGGAGACAAGGGTTTGTAGGGGTTGCTAAGTCTCGCGGGCTCGCAAAACCTCTCTCAGGTCGATCTTATTTTGCATTTAAACGCTTATACATTTTTTTTTGCCGGGGGGGGGGGGG